TTATTTTCAAAGGTCTGGGATTGTTAGAAGGAATCCCAGCAAAGCATGAATCACAATAGGTGCATGACGTTTGTCTAGTCTAGTCCATGTGTGAACTGGCAACAAGGTCTTTAGGCCTGTTGCGGATTCAACCACAGTGACCAAAAAGGGCAATGCAAGTGCGTTGAATCTCATGGACAATGTTGTTCGAAGTGTTACTAAACCATGTACTGTGCTGCTCTCAGCAATTGATGCCAAACTCTCCGGGGAAAGCTCGAAGGGTAGGCCTCGACCCTTGGAAGCAGAATGTTTTACCACAGTGTATGTATGGGGAACATGTCTATATATAGTTCTATGGTATCACAGGCCTACCCCCAAAACAAACCCGGCAGCCCAGGACCATGAAGCTCAGTGAAGCGTTGAAGATGGCTTTGGCAGCACCTGTCAGGCTTCCATAGTTCGTTTGGGAAAGTATCCAATGTTTGATGGGTGTTTTCCACTGATTGTCAGGTCAGTCCAGAAAACCATCACGAAGAAGAATACTGGTAAACGCAGAGTGCAAAACAGGACTGTGTTGCACCAACCTACATCCTATTCCAGTAGACTTAGTTTGTTGAGTATTTTGTTGATATCTAGGAAGTGCTACCCCAAGACCAAGATCGAGAAGCCGAATGCAACCCATCCGAAGGGACCTCGCAGTATTTCCACTGCATTCAAGTGGGCTGACGCCTTCTTGACCAGACTCTGTGTGCAGTTTGGACGAGATGTAGTCGAAAGAAAACTTCGAAGGTGGAGATGGGACATGACCACATGTTTTTCTGGAATTGGGTGTCCAGAAGCAGTCCCATCCTCATTTGCTACACATACTTCCAAAAATGAGAAAGGTCAATGTCCACTTCCAACATTCCCTGCCACTGTTATCCCCAGGCTGTCAAGTGCCTGGAGTTCGCTGCCAAGAACTTCATTGGACCTGTTGAGGGAGGACATCACGCTACGCTGCTTTTTGCATGTGAACGCGACCGACATTGCCAAGAAGTCTTGAGTCGAACGTATGGGACATGTGTGTTTCCGGATGTGATGCAGTATGGTGCCAAGAAGACCCACTTGAATTGCATGACACATGGCAAAATGTGCCCATGTACCGTCGAGGCAGACGTGGAAGACACTTTTCAGCAACTTGTGTTTCTATAAAATATGCAGGCGTAGAGTAAATATAAACCAAACTGTCTGGAAAAGAGCCCAGGATTGAGAATCTCTGTGGCAGGCTGGCCTCCTGTGTAACATGTTTGAATATGTTTTGCTAGCGACAGTTCACCCAGCCTTCGTCGATCCACAGCCTTCCTTTCGGTCAGGACCACCATGCCAACCTTTCTCTCGGATGGGCACAGGCGAAGGTGTGACATCTGTGAAGTACATCGTCCACCAAAAATACTATGAAACAGCTCCCACCCAAGCCGATGTTCTTGTTTTGGAAAACGTTCCAGAGTATCACATGGAAGAGGTCGTGAAGCAGGAGCTGGGATCAGGGTGGGGATGCTATACTATGACCATTGATCCTAGGATCTTTGGCTTGGGAACTAGCCGGCCTCGTGTTTATGGACTATGCTGGAAGAAATGTTCGGTGAGAGTAGACCAGGCCTTCGATCTGACTTCAATCGTTGAAGGGTTGAAGGCTTTGCCCATGATGTCAGCTGGAAAATTCTTTTTCCAGAAGATCGCACCCTCTGGATTGGCCCCATGCTATGCTGCTAAGTTGAAACACTTCTTGAAACACTTTCGCTGCAACATCTTGTATTCCCTCTTTTTCCCTCTGATCCCACTGAGGCTAAGAACTTGCACGACTACGAAGTGCTGGAAAAAGATTGGGAGGTGGCTGACCTGTCCCAGCTGGTGTGCAACGGGCGCGGAAGGACAGAGACAGTGGATGGGTCCTTACCTACACTTACCACAAATTCTGGCCGCCTCTGGTCGAAGGCCAGCACACATATTTCATAACATTAATTGGGCATTGTTTGAACACGAACATGTGACCTAGCTGTAGAATTCGAGTTGCCATGTCTTCATGGAGGTGGAGCGACGATACCTTTCACCCACTGAGATGCTCACCAGCCACCTGTTGCCAACTAGCCGCAAATTTTCAAAGATCTGTGGGGCACCATGTTTGGAAGTGTCCACGACACCCGACCATCAGAAAGTCCGTATGGCGGGGAATGCCATGAATGTGGCATGCATTGGATCTTTTTTGCTGAGCGCCATCATGATGATGGAGCCTCTGAGGTGAAATCAATTCGTTGAAGAAAATTCATTTGCCTTTGCCCAAATTAGGAGGAGTCCTTTGGAAGAACCTTCAGTGACGCAGAAAGGTGCTCTTGGGAGGCTTCTACTGAACATGTCTGGACCAGAGCAACTTGTCATGCAAATGTGTCGGTCTCTTAAATCCCGAGCTTCTTCAGCTTTTTTGGGGCAGGTTGAGCTAGGTTGGGCCTCAACCATGGGTAAGCGTGCTGCCTCGGGCACGCCGCCATCGGCAAAGGCCCCGAAACTCAGCCTCAAGCCATGGGGGCAAAAGATGGTGATGGGTGCTCAGTTCCATGGAAGTATTCAACGATGTTTGATTTTGAACACCAAAATGACTACGAACTATACAGCACTAAGACAACAAGTATGTAGACTCCAATGGGTACATTGTCATGTCTCAGCTGGTGCTGAGGCTGTTTGATCCTATGAGGGACGAACACCCTGTGCAATGGCTTTTGGACAAATGGCACAGCGACATGTGTGGCCCTTTGACAGACTGGCTTGAGGACGTCTTGCAGTCTCCAATTCCCAAGCCTTCTGAAGTGATTATGCCGGACAAGGGTGGCCAAATGTTGATGGGTTCAAACTATTTTACAGTAATTTCAATCGTAGTCTGAGCAAGTCTACGGCAGGGGAAGCTTTTGTGCCAGGACTCTTGCCAAAGCTCGTTGAGCGTGCCACTCCTGTCCTTCAAGCCCAAGAAACCCTTCGATGGGCTCCCATGCTATCAGGATTGGCTCGGCCATGCTTCCAGCATCTGGGCCATTGGATACCAAGCCTGGGAATCCATTGAGATCAAGCCCATTGATCCCACAATCCGTGGCAAACCCATGGAGCATGGTTGCTTGGAAGTTGCTAAGGGATGCGGAAGGATTTCCATCCTTTTCTACACTGTCGCGTACAACTACATCCACTTGAAGAATGCCCTAAGTGAGGAAGAGCTCCAGGAATTTCGGGAGTCACTCAGCTGCAGTTCCAAAGAAATCCAAAGGGGCAGCTCTGGAGGAGGGTCCAGGTGAGGGAAGAGTAAACTAGACTAAAACTAAGGTCCCAAGCATAGTTGGGTCGCCTTTGGAGGTTCCATGTTCTCAAAATCTCAAAGGTGATGTTCTCAGTGAGAACGTCGCCTTTGGGGCCAACCCCTCAATCCACAAGGTGACGCTCTCAGTGAGAACGTCGCCTTTGGGGCCAGCCCCTCGATCCACCAAGGTGACGTTCTTGGTGAAAACGTCGCCTTTGGGGCCAACCCCTGAGTCCACCTTGGTGAAAACGTCGCCTTTGGGCCCCAAACACAGCACCAAAGGTGATGTTTTCAATGAAAACGTCGCCTTTGACATCATTAGGCCCCCAGCCCTCACCATGTCAAAGGTGATGTTCTCAGTGAGAACGTCGCCTTTGAGATTTCAGGTACCTGGAAGTCCCAAAGGTGACGCAACTATGTTGCCATCCATGTGTTAGGCCTAGTCATTTGCAAGCTGATCTAGTCACAGCTTGTGCTGGTAGGGCTTGATACTGAGTCACAATGTTCTGACAACATGCAGGACAAACCATACGTTCCTGAAAAATACTATGTCCCCAGTCTTGTCCCCTATATGTGGCTACTGGGCTATTAACACAGTTGAACTAAGGGATTGAACCCTTAAGCTTTGGGTGGATTTGCCCAGTAGAGCCTGGTGGGGCATGCCACAATTTTAGGATGGAGCCACTACCTTGGTAAGCTTCAAGGCTGGTAGATCATGTTCTATATTATATAACCCCTGTAGCTCTTCCTGTGTATCCACAGTCTGTGAAACTAAGGTGGCTGAAGACGGCACTGACTCTACCTTGCCAATATATACCTCAAGTCTGTGAGCAGGACTATATGTGGCGCCGCATCCAAACAAGTCAGCAGCAGGCTGAGCGACAGAAGAAATCACTTCTGCAGCTATGCATGATGTTCCACAGTCGCGCTGAACAAATCATGAAGGACATGTACTTCTCAAACTACATTGCTTTCAATATAATAAGCCCTCACTGTCTCCTAGGAATTTCAAGCATCAAAAACCATCAAAAGCTAGAATTAGAACCTGCTGGGATGGGAATTGAGTTGTTTAGAGCCTGATGCCTTTCCACCAATCTCAGGGTCGTTGTGGGCTCCCAACTACTACCGCAGGACGGCTATGTGGCAAACTACAGGGCGGCTTGGGACGAAGCCATAGGAGAATACAATGGCTTTGGTTTAGCAAAGTCTTCTGCGCAGCATCGTGTAGATGGATCGACATCACTTCTCATGTTCGGATTCAAGGTGGGTGGGAGAATCTGGGGAGTTTACTTGTTGATCTGTGCTGTACAAGGTGTTGAACTTGGTTGACAAAAGGACAATGAAACCCTGTGGAGGTGGGAGTGTCCAACGAGTGTTGGAACCTGATGGTGAAGCACCTACACATGAACAAGTTCGAAAATTCAGGTGCTGGAGTCTGGTGTGGAAACAACGAAACGAACAGTTTTCATCACTGGGTCATTCCTGATACTAGATATTATATAGTTAGGAACAAGCTGTCAGAAGGGTGGGTTCTATATAGTGTTATTGTTATTTTGCTGTCACAACAAATCAACAAATTCAAAGCACATTGGACTCGAATCCACCCCCTTCAGCCTTCAGCCGGGACACTTTGATCCTGTCGCGATGGTTGCTGAACGGTGTGCCTCGGGGAGCTGAAGGTGTTTGGTATGACATGCTCAGTATGACAGAAGCAAGGCAACTTCTATTCCTTGAACGCATCCTCTTCGTGTTTGAGTTGGCCAAAAGAAAGGCCGGAAAGGCCCAGATTCTGAGATTGAGCCCAATGGAGTGGCAGGATGAGGCAGACATTTGCTGCTTCGCGGGCTATATCTTAGAGAAAATGAGGGCTGCCAGGGACAAGGACAACCTCCTGGTATTCAAGAAGGCGACCATTGACACTGTCAGGAACAGGTTCATCGAGGGGTGTCTTGGTTTGGTATTAGTTATGCTTGATTTGGTTTGGGCAATACCTTTTCCAAAGTTTAACATATATAGGAACTGCCTTTCACTACTTTTCTTCAGTTCCATCTCAGGGATTTCCACGAAGACATCAAGCCCACTGTGGAAAGCAGAGATGCTTTCTTCCAGCCAGAAGACACAAGCATGTGGTTCGAGAACCTTCCCAAGAAGATGTGCCCAGATCCTTCAACGGACCACCTATCCAAAGCCGATGGCAAAATCGAAGAACTGCAATTGCAACAGTCAAAAATGCAGTTCGATGCCGACGCATTGTCTCTGGCGAGGGATGCCGCACAGATTGCAGCCCTTTATCAAAAGGAGATGAAAAACGAACGTGCAAATCGCCTAGCAAAAGTGATGCATCTAAAACAGGAAAACCAAATGGGATCCAACTTGGTGATGCAGCACATGAAAAAGAACTGCAATCACATTGCGGGACCTGTCAGTGACTTGACTGATGAGGTTGTTCAGGCAAGGGTGCAAAACAAGTCTATATGAATCAAGCAGCAAAATCCATATGAATCAATAAGTCTGACATAAAGTTCAATGAATTAAAACCCTAAATGTGCTTTTCACCTGACATAAAGTTCAACCTCATGTTCTTGGACCCCTGAGTTTGCAGCATCTTTGAAGAAAGAGGATGGAGCTCTTTTGGTATGGATCGACTACATGAAAGCCGGCGTGGTCAGCAAAGATGAGTTGAACAACTCCGTCACCATGCTGTCAAAGGCACTTGCTGCTCTTCCGGAAGCATCCATCGGATTCATCATTGCGCCTCATGCCCAGTCCGAGCGAAGAGGTGGACTGCGAGACGAACTTAGGACCGAGTGAACATGGGTCTGACAACAATCACTCAGACTTTGATCTTATGTTATTGGTTTTGCTGTACTTTCGAAGAAGTGTTTTGCAGAGTCACTCCAGTTGGGCTAGAATAGATGCTTTTTGGCGCATCCCTCAGGAGGGTGGAAAACAAACTGGATGCAAAGGGCATCGAGTCTGAACCTGTCCTTTTGCGCTGCGAAGATCCTCCAGCAACGAAGAGAGTACAGTTGAACTTTCCGGCCTGGGTGGTCTACCAACAGGGCGTTGCTTCAAATGTGTGGATGGGATGCCAAATGATGCAGGACAAGTCATTTTGGTACTTGCTTAAATCATTTTTTTGGAGGTCCCATGAATGTCTGAAGCTTGTTGTTGGCCCTGTGTTCTGATCCCAAAATCCAATCAAAACTCTATCACATCCATCAAGCCCCAAGAGTCTAGTTCCTGGTTTCCTGGTCACATGTGTCACCAAAACATACTACTGTTTTGTTAAGAATAATGCTGCTTTTATCTGTCTACTATAATTTTTTCGGTAGATGATTATGAACCCCTTGGGGACTAATGCACTTGACAAGCTCAGGTGTGTCCGCAAGTTGCTTCCATGGACGCCAGAAAGCCAATATGAAGTCCCGACAAAGGATGTTGTGCTGCATGCTTCAGAAGGAAGCAGGCTTGACAGGGTTATATAAACAAGTTAGACCTCAAAAACAAGTTTGCTAAATGCTATTGTTACTCATTATAGGTTTAACTATGTTTAACTGCTTTTGGAAGCCTAGCCATAAAGCACCAAATGTTCCCACGCTTGAAACCGAAACCATGTACGCCAGGGCGCTCTCAACGAACCAAGAGACAGCGCAGCTGCTCTCAGGGGCTTCCATGCCCACAGCTGTCATCAACAGCCTGTTGAATGGGGCTGATGTGGGAAAAGTGCTTGGTATCTTGAACCTCTCCCCGTACGACGGGTGGCTTGAAAGGGTTGCGTTGAAATGGACCCCACGTGCCGAGCGTGACATCCGTACCCTGTCAGTGTCGACCAATGTGAACTACACGGCATTCAGCGAGAAGCAGTGTGCATTCATCTTGATGGAGGATAGTGAGTTGGAAAAACAACAATGACAGCAGGTAAAATGAAAACATGTCTGGTTTAGTACGTCGACTTAACCCTGATTGAGGTCTGGTGTCAATGGTTGAGGGATGGTGAGGGAGTGTTTCACGTGAACCAACTGTTCAATACCGGTTGTCGTTTAGTTATTATTATGTCTATTTTCTTTCCCATGCGGTAGGACTGGAAGAACAACGGCACCTTGATGGGTGACAACATCAGGAAGTATGACGCGACCGTACCTCCTCAAGCTGCAACCGATTTAGACACTGTGACCTTGAAGTTGGCCCAGGTCTCCAGGGACGAGGCAAAACGAGGGAAGTTTGTCGTCACATTGAGTAACGAGGTAAGGGCTCGGCATCTTTCCGATGTGGTTCATTCTGCGGACTGGAAGCGCCTTATCACTGACTTCGACAAGAAGTCCCTCGATCCAAAAATTGCATCAGGTTTCTTGTGTGTGTAGCGCGTGATGTTGCTGATATTAAACAATCCCTTGTATCAACTTGTATCTTGTCTGCTAGGTCCTGAAGTCAGTCCATTCACACCCACAAGTCTCATCCTGGTCCTGGTCCATTCACACCCACAAGTCTCATCCTGGTCCTGGTCAATGCAGTCAGGTTTTGTGGCAACATCCAGACCGAGCCCGAAGACCAAAGCCAGATCGTGCCTGCTGAAGAACCGGAAGAGGCACGGCCCGCATGGACCTCGGAACCCACTGATCTGCAGGGATTGATGGACAATTACATCCTGGAGCAAAAGTGCCCTGGGAGAGTACCGGGGACAACATTGATGCTTGTCCATGCAAAGATGAGGGATGGCACCGCCACAGAGATTGTCGAAGGGCAAACGCACAAGCTTTTCTTGGTAGCCAACACTGTGTTCAACACAACTTTGGGGTTTGGGTGTGGGTTATCGAAATAAAGCCAACATCGGGCGCACCCAGCATGAGTTCCATTCTTGGTATCTCAGGTATGTCACCAAGAGATCGAACTTTCCCTCACCGAGTTCGAAATTGGCCATGGGAAGTCAACATTCCTCAAGGATGAGAAGCTGGCAAAACTTCAACGTGAAGGTGTTGGCTCTGGCCCAGGCACGACCCAATCAATCAATGTTCAATACAGCTGGCATGAACCAGTTTCGGGGTTTTGCAAGTACCACGTTGCTCTTCATAGTACTCTTAAATACTTATTGTTTGAAAGCATTGGACTACTTCACCTAAACCACTCGCAATCTGAAAGGTGTCAAGCCACTGGTAGTTTTCATAGACTAGTCAGACTATAGTCGCTTTCATTTTGGCCAATGGATTCGCTTGCTTCTATCTTGGCGCAGCACGGTTTGCAGCAGGACCAGCTGGAGGGTGTGCAGGGTTCTTCGTGTTTCAAACAGATTGAAGGAATTCTTTGTGCGTCAGAGACTATGGGCAACCTTCAGCCACCTTTGCTAGCCCATAAAATTAAAGTTGACCTACTTGCCCTGCCAACTTGTTGAAACTGTATTGGCTGCAAGTACTCCAACCATTGCCCACCAGCTTCAACTCCAACCTTACCACCAGGACCTGACTGTGATGTACGAGACGTCTCCAGGGGCTTTGCAGACTCCAACTCCCAGAGTTGCTCGAAGCGAAGGTAGCATAACTTTGCCAGATTGTATCAAATCATATGTTATAGTCTCAGGAAATCGCCAATCGCCCGACAAAACTCAACAGAAACATAGAGTGTGTACCATGACCATGGGTCTTTGCACGCTTCAGGCTACTGCCAGCCCGCTTGATCCTGGATCCCAAGCATTGGGCTCTGCCGCCAAAAAGACTGGCACCCCTACGAACACACGAACAAGGAAGCCGATGGATCCAAGCCAAGTATCTGAGATGCAAAGCGCTGTGAAGGTAGCCTTGGATGAAGCTGGCAAGAAGAGCAAAACGAACAGGCTGAAGCAAGCTGCAGAAATCCAAAAGAGACCTGAGGGGGAGCAGGTTCCCAAGGCAAAGTCTGCTGTTCAGAGGGCACTTGAACTCCAGGCGTCTGATGCGGAAGCCAAGAAGAAAGCTGGCAAGGCTAGGCTTCTTAGTATGATAGTGGCACAACAAACTAGACACTCTACAACTATGGTGAAAACAAACAAATGACTCTTTGTTTATGTTTCTCATCACCACAAGGTTATGTTACATGTGGGTTAGTAAGTTAGTGTGCACGGCCTTCTCAACTTGACCCAACTCTTGAGCACCAGGCTACTGCAAAGAAGGAACCCAAGAAGAAAGCTGCCGCCAAGAAAAAAGCTGCTGCGAAGAAGCCAGCCAGGAAGCCAGCCAAGGCTGGCAGCACCTGAGGGTTGGTCACAAAATCATTTGGGGATACGTGCTGCTCGAGTTCCACCTACAATTCTAATACCAAAGTTGAGCTCCTGCAACTACAAAGGTTTCGATCTGAAACTTCCAGAAGTTATGAGCTCCACATCATACACATTGATTTTTTACTCTGACTCTCAATTGCTAGCGACTGTATGTAGGGGGCTGGTGGAGGATTGCTATTAGAGGGTCATTAGTCATTAGTGTGTCTTATCTAGACCACCTGGGATGGAACAACTGGTTGACACATGAGGCTGAAGCTGAGGAGGCTGAAGCTGAGGAGGATGTGTTGGATTCGGAGGAGGATCTGAGTGAAGAATACCTGGAGGAAGAGGAGGAGGAGGAGGTCAACAGCGTTGACGCTGAGACTCTCCGCCTTGGACAGTCGCCGAAGCAGAAGAAATTAAAGAACAGTGAACCAAAGAAGCGTGAACCAAAGAAGGGGAAGGAAAGCCAGAAAAAAGATGATGATGATGAAGTTGCCAGGGCTTCTCAAAGAGATGGCGATGAGATGGGAGGGGTGGCTGGGGCACAGAGTATGAGGGCGCTTTATTGGGAAGTTGTGCACGAAGCCCAGAAGCGGATCAAACGAGAGAATCCGGACATGCCTGCCAAAGAAGTCTTGAAGCTGGCACGTGCAGAGTGGCTCGCTTCCATTTCAAAAAATACGTTGCAGTTGAAAAAATTACCCCTGGGCACTATAATATAGTTTGACGTTGCAAGACTACTAGATATAATTACTACTAGTATGAGATAGTAAGAAAGATCTAGCAAGTATATTGCAAATCAACTCGTGAATGATTCAGGTGGGAGGAGCACCCTCAGCGTATGAGCGCTTTGCGCAACATGTCCAATAGTGAGCTCTCTCGTCGCAGAATGACTAGCAGCTGCCAGAAGAAGGTTTCAGAGCCAAAGCGCCGCAGGAAAACTGCGGCAGGGATGGATGCTTAGTAGATGGATGCTTAGTAGATGGATGCTTGACCAGCTCATAGTGTCTACGACTCTTTTGGTCATCGTAAGTTGTATCAACACTTGTGTGAAAACTACCCCTGTTCCAAAGACTTGCTTTTGGTTGCTGTTGCACAGCTGGTCATTGTGCAATCATCGCTTCCAGTTTCCAGATTGCTTCTGGATCATTTTGTGGGGACATGCTGCTGGCTTACCAGCAGCCATCTAGAGAGACACAACGGTGTCCAAGAGCCAGGGAAAATAGGATACTCCCTAGACTAGTATATTCTAGTCTAGTCCTTTGGGAAATGCATCAATGATCAACAATGTGTTTGCCTTGGTAAAGCGTTTGTGGCTAAAGTGTCTATAGTAAAAGTCTATGTCACTTTGGTCAGGCAGTGCGCTCGCATTTACAATTCCTTGTCGCTGGACTTCAGACCAAGCCAAAGTCGTCTTGGAGATTCCTTCAGAGAGCTCAAAGTCTTCGACAGACGCTGAGCCTTGCACCTTGCGCAGCCTCATGATTGAGCTCGAGGAGGAAGGACATGTTGACATGGGCCTGCACAAGCACAAGTGCGATCGTCCACCAGCAGCTGGCGATGAAGGAAGGGAAGTTGAAATGATCTTGATTAAACAAGGTTAAAGGATGTCAAAGGTGTCTAATTGTTCTTGGATGGGGCAAAGGGGTGGTGTATCCATGGTAATTACATGTCAAGCATGTGGCGTCCTGAGAATTCGACTACTTCATCATCAAGCCTGAGCCGATCTACCCCGCGTTCGCCTACACCCCATCCCTCGCCGGCCTCAAGTTCACAACCATTGCAGGAGCATTTTCGAATGAGGCAGGTCTGGATAGCACATGGAAGTCATATACTGCATTGAACTGGGGTGGCTTGCTGAACTGAATGAGTTTTAGGCCCAAAGATGTCCAAAGTGCAATGTGCTTCTTCCACAGGCCCTTGAAGCATCACGAACTTTAGCACGATACTGGAGGGTCTTGGTCAAGAAGGCTGAAAAGGACTTCGAACCTACAGTCTTCATGTTGCTGTCTTTTTTGTAATATACGATATAAGTCTGGAAGTTAATCCAATTGCTATATATTTTGGTGGTGCCAGGAGGTGGTTCCTCGCACCTGGGCAAGAGATCAAAAGGAACTTGAAATCAAAACCTTGGAAACAGAGTTTAGATAATCGAGATGTCAATGTGCATTGATTATCTCAGGCAAACCATTATATTTTCATCGCGAAGCTCGCACAATGAGGGCAGATGAAGTATTGAGATTGGTGTAGAGCTGATTTGAGTTTTGGACGTGAACATGTGTTCCAAGACAAGATGGAACAAGATCTGTGAGCCCAGGGAGTGGCCGAGAAAAGAGCGAGTGAATCTTCTGGACATGGCCAGTGAACAGGAGGTGATCCCCTTTTCGTTTTATTTGATGGGCCCCCAGTACAATTAATATTCAACTAGCTGATGGATCAAATAAAACGAAAAGGGGATCAAATACAACGAAACCTACTTTTATATACTTACGACTGATTTTATGGGAAGGGACGGGACAGAAAAGGATGATGTGCTTGCTTGTAGGATATTATTCCAGAGTATTTGTCTCAGTGCTCAGTTTCTCTTATTTATCTCTTATTGGCCTTTGTTTGTCTCCCATTTTCTCTTGTGCGTATCTTATAATATACATGTCGGTTCTCTGAAAAATATTGCAAATCACTTAAATTGAAATATGTGTTTTCTAAATGTTCCTTATGCTCTTTTCATTCCAATTATATAGCCCGATGCTGTACCAGTACTCAAAGAATCATCCACAATCCAGGGTGGTTTGCAAGAACATGTGCTGCACTTCTTTAGGAGACCAAGTCTCAATGTGTGACCACAACTCACTCAGTCCCTCAGTCCATCCACGGACAGGGCCACCAAAGGCGTGATTGAAGAACCTCCACTCATCCAGGGCCTGTTATATTTTTTCCCAGTAGAGGGATGTGGATGTCCGGAGCAGCAAATTCCCTGGCAAGATCTCGCTCCATCTCGCAGGCCTTGCCCAAAAGCAAGCTGCCCCTCTTCGTCGGGCACTGAGAACGGGGGCAGCTTGTTGCGTTGGGACCGTCGGGACCGAAAGATTGGACCAGAGATCCGGGACGTTTTCAAACGACGAACACCTCGCCAGGACCGAAGATGGGCGCGGGCCGCTTTTGGCCCATTTTTTCTTGCGACGAACGGAACTGGTGGGAGGGTGGGGCCCGGGCCTGCGAGTGTTGCAGCTGATGCAGATGACTGTCCACTAGCAGAATGGCAGGTTCCATTCAATTGAGGAGACTAACAGTTTTTCACACCGCCCCGGTTGGAGACCCAGCCATGAAGGCTGTGTCTTGGAGCCCTGAATCAGTCCCGAACCAGACCTTGGGATGATGTTCCTCAAGAAAAAGGAATGCACCAGACCCGCCGCAAGGAAAAACAACATGGAAAGATAAAACCGAAAATGCTCAGGTCTGGGTGCCTTCGCGCTTCACTGAGGAGCGGAGCGCTGAAAAACGGCCTTAGCTCTTTGACTCTCTTTGACTCTTTGTTCTTTTCTTTTCGCCTATATAGCTGCTAGCCGCGCCTTCCGCGGAGATCTCGGAGCTTTCTTTTTTGAGGAACTTGGACTGGTGGCCTGGTGGATTCCCATCCCACACGACCTGTCTGGGACTGGAATATCAATGCCTACATTGACCCCAGCCCAGACCGGTCATGTCTGGCTTCCACGCACCTGAACAGATTGGACTGGTCCAGGTCGAACAGCGTGGGTGAACACTCAAGTACTTCCTCTGAAAGAATTTCGACCCTCCTGACACCCACCGGACACCCACCCCAAACAAACACCTCCGAAACGAAGGTAGGCCAGGAGCCCTAGGGTAAAAATATCTGGAACCGGAGTGACCCCTTTTCTGGGAGTTCAACACATGACAATGTGCTTTTCCTATCCAAACAGGTCATGTTTGGGTTCTAGGTACAACATATATAGGTATATAGGTGGTGGTTTGAAGTGTATACTTTTCAAGTGAGTCGAACCACCAACCAGTATCGTATGTTGAAATATGTTGATCTAGATTCTAAACCCAATCTGGTTCACGCTTTTTCGACATTGATTTCGGTCGGACAAATAAAGCCGATCGCCGATCGCAGGAGGATGCCGCACTTCATGAAAATTACGTCTTCAAACCTGATGAGGGGAGCTTGGACATGATTTCATGAGTTCAAAAGTCCACTGCTGCGGGCGTTCGGCGTGTTGTGTGAGGACGACCTCCGAAAGAGGAACAGAAAGAGAACGAGAGAGAGAGAGAGGGAAACAAGGTGAGCCAGGGAACCCAAAAGCAACAACCACAAAATATGTTCAGCGACACTGAGACACGTTGCAAACTCCAGCTGCTCTTTTTCATGACAGTGACAAGTCACCCATGAATTTTAGCTTGGGAGCTGTGCCTTGGGTCTCAGCAGACTTTGCTTCAACACCTCAGAGGGGGTTGCTCCATGTACGAGAGGCCCTCGTTCGCTCGCTCCCCAGACCAGAAGATGGTTGGACCCTTTAAGGGTCCCAGTCCCACCTCGAAACGAAGGTAGTTGGAGCCACAGAGGGAGAGTTATATATATGTTCATAATATATTACAGAAGGGATAGCCATGGGGGGTGGAGTGGTGTAGATACCTTACAAAATCACAACGTTCACAAGCCCACCGCCCATGACTACCCGCTCTCTACAATTAACATACTGTAACATACTGTAACTACTTATCACTGACTTCCCGACCAGATTCGCCGTATACGAGACGGAGCTCTGAGGATGTCTCTCGGAGCTCGGAGGCTCTGAGCGTGGTGTCCGGTACAGCGACGGCTCCGTTGTCGTGTTTGGTCACGACTGAGGCTCCACGTCGCTGGATGACTGAGGCTCCAAATTGGGCACAACAGTAAGCTTGCAACTGCCGCTGTTGCTCAGGCTGTTGGCTGAAGCAAACATGAACATCATGCAAAGACATCATGGCCCTTACTGTGTTGACCCTCTGACCCTTGAGCGCACATGAACAAGCAAGTCTTTCATGCCATCATGCCACGACCAAAACAAACAAGTCTTTCATGCCACTAACGAACTTGTACACCAAAGACCTGGTTGGACTGTTGAACTGAACAGTCTGAGCAATATGCCAACACCAATCCTTGCAGTTTCATGAACATGCGAGAAAAACACACACGTGTCAGTCATGTGTGTCATCCAAAAAGTAACTTTAGCCGCAAAGTACGTGAGACAAGTCCAAGCGACGTCCAAGACAGCTGGCTGGTGCGACGTCCACCTCCTTGGCCCTCAGCCGATCCTTTTGAGGCCCGGTCGACAACCGCAGATGACGAGACACTCACTGACTTGTAAATTGACCGAGAAACCGCCAGGGGTGGAGGAATCAATGTACCCAGACTGGATCCACGGATCCACCTTCCGTACCGGCCTGGTTCGGTATGACTGGGCCTGATTTGTCGCGCCTACATCAAGAGTCTCCCTGCTTACCTTCACAGGTTCGGTATGTGGATCTATAAAGATACACAGCTGGGGGTCCAAACCCAAAGGCACCAAACGTTGGGAAGAAAAACAACAGTGCCAGAGGTCACCAATGAAACCACCTAGACCTTCCAACGGCTAAAATATTCTAGTACGATTGGGTTGTTGTATTAGTTTCTGATGCTTCGATGGAAAAAAATGGTAGTTGTCAGAAACGACTGATTTTTGCTTAGCGGCGTGATTTGGGTATGCTCCACAGATTTTGATCCGAGTAGCCATCACCGGCTATCACACATCTATATTTAGGGGATGACTTCCGTATTTATCAACCCATCCATCCATCAGCCATCCCATTGGACGCAGTGGAAGACGCCAGTCATCATCGACCCGGCAAAGACCGACCTTCAAGTTTTTTTTGCGGCCTTCTTGATGACGATAACTGGATTAATGCCCAGCTGCCAAGTGTCTTCAT